GGACATCGGGTGTTTGCCAGCCCAGTTGAAGCTGTCTGCTTCCTTGCTCACCACCAGCAGAAAGGTGAGGGCTATGCCCCGCATTCCAGGTGACAGAGGAGGTTTACATGGGGACTCAGTCACACTTTCTGGGGACTGTACATTTCACAGAAGGAGCCAGGTTATACTAAAGGAGTCCTGGCTCAAGGATACCAGCACCCCATAGAGATGGAGAACCCCAGGGAGCTCAAGGACTGAGGGGCTGAGTAACAATGAGCACTGCCCACAGAGGGGCGCCCTGCAGTCAGGAGGGGGTGGGAAATGGGTGCGGATCAGCAGCCGGCAGAGGCCCATCCAGGTGAGCACAGGTGGAGCTGATGGTGGATGGAGACGAAGAGTGTGCTGGTTGGGAGGGGAAGACGGTGGCCTGTAGCTGGTCTGGGAATTCCCAAGCTGAGCAAAGGGTTTGCCAAGGCCTGTGGTTGGGCTTGTTAACAAAAACACCAAACTCTTAAAAAATGATCTGTAAGAGGTATCTTCTGAGCCAATGAGTGACCACAGTCTGGGGAATCTCAAGAGGTCCTGAAAACGTGTGCCAGGGCAGTCGTTTTCTACATTTGAGGGGACAGGAATTGGAGTAACATCATAAATCCATCCATGGAAGGTACACATTGACTCGGCCTAACAAGGTGGGATATCTTGAAGTCAGGGCATTATAGGTCATAGGTGGATTCAAAGATTTTCCGATTGGCATTTGGTTGAGAGTTCAGCTTTGTCTAAAGACATGAAGTTGGTACAAAGGAATGCTTCAGTTCAGAGAGAGCGTCTGCCTCTGCCATGTGATGCTGTCCCAGAGCCAGGAAGGAAAGTCAACCACAGCATCCTGGGTCAATTTAAAACCCACTGAAGGAGACTCTGTGGTTTCTAGGGTGTGTGTTAATTCTTGCTTTGCATGGCCTCAGGTCTTGTTCATAATCTGTACCTGATTGTCAGAATCCATTCTGAATAATCTCACGATGCCTATTTTATACTCCAAAGGTGCAGGGCTCTCATGAGGCTTCTCTCACCTCCACTTCCATCATGGCCAGGAATTCATTTTTTCAGTTTTCCCTGGGGTCCCCTTGACTAAGAGGGAGCCTGTTCCATTGGTTGGGGTCTCAGGATTGCAGGCCTTAGGGCAGCCTCACAGCACAGTGCAAGGGAGTTGGCTGGATTTTCCTGAACCCTAAACCCCATGGCTCATGGGATAAGGGAGCTGTGGGCCACCCGGCTTCTGCTGAGATTCCTTTCCCTAGGTGCACGTGCAGGTTCGGCCTTGGCCCTTTCTGTTCTTTTCAGAAGCCCACACAGTGGAGGACAGGACGGTTTGGGGTCAGGGACAGAGGCTCCTGTCACTGAGACTGTCCTCAGTGGGACAGAGGGAAGAGACTATTGTTGCAGTTCGTCTGCCTCTCTGCAGCACTGATGTGTAGGCCCAGCAATTCAAGTCCACTCCTGGCAGCCAGCCTTGAACACAGAACTGATCAGCCACACAGAAAACCTGAAGCAAAGCCTCTAAAGTGCAGCCTCTCAAAAACGCTCACCAGAGGTTTCTTAATCAGACTTAGTGTAGCCAGTGAGCTTCTGTTGCCTCCTGTGACGTGGGTGCTATTTCTCCCACTAAAAGCCCAAACCTCTGCCTCAGGAGACAGGGCGCAGCTGCAGCCTCCTCAACTAAGTGTGAAGGGCTACTTCCTGGGCAACTCAGAGGCTCCTTAAACTCACAATGGTGTGCAAATCTGTGGGCTCACTTTCTACATCAGATCTTCAAAGGTCTCTGTGATTCCAAAAGCTTGGGAACTGTTAAATTTGATCATTTCTGAAATGTCCTCCAGTTTAAAAGTCCTCAGTTCCAGTTCATTTTCAATTCCTGAATAAAGGGATGAGTCCTGGAGCTTCTGGAAGCTGGCCTGGAGCTGAGCACTTGCTGCAGACAATGCCCGAAGCGCAAACCCGCGTGGATTTGGGCTGCAGGTGAAAGCTTCATATTCAGGTCTTACTTTGTGACAGTGAGAGGTGACCAGGGAAGCCTATATGAGGGGCGGGGGCCAACCAGCAGCCCAGCCTGGGGAGCTGCCTTAACCACATCTCACCTTACTTCCTCAGAGCTACATTTTTCTTGAAGGGAACTGCAGATTTATGCAAAATACTAAGCAAGCTGAGTGGCTGTTTTATTTTATTTTAAGCAGTAAGGAAAAACAGAAATTTTCACACCAAAGACCCTGTGCTAGTCTCAGAGGAACTGGTGTTGAGACTGAGGAATCACGGAACACCGCTCTCGGAAACTGTTAGGGCAACTGAAAAAAAAAAAAAAAAAAGTAAAGACAATGAAGAGGCTTAATTCTCCCTGTTAAAAAAAAGGGAAGCAGCCGGGCGCGGTGGCTCAAGCCTGTAATCCTAGCACTTTGGGAGGCCGAGACGGGCAGATCACGGGGTCAGGAGATCGAGACCACCCTGGCTAACACGGTGAAACCCCGTCTCTACTAAAAAATACAAAAAACTAGCCGGGCGAGGTGGCGGGCGCTTGTAGTCCCAGCTACTCGGGAGGCTGAGGCGGGAGAATGGCGTAACCCGGGAGGCGGAGCTTGCAGTGAGCTGAGATCCGGCCACTGCACTCCAGCCTGGGGGACAGAGCGAGACTCCGTCTCAAAAAAAAAAAAAAAAAAAAAAAGGGAAGCAGTGTCCACTCTCCCTTAGAGCATTTTCTTTGGAAAACTTACTGTAAATCTTCCTCTGCCCCTTTGAGGGGCATGCAAAGCTTTCTGACAGCTAAATAAGCCTCTTGCCAGCTTTGCAACCCAGGACTGTGTTCCTGAAGGACCTGAGAGTCCGTCTTTGAAACATCATCATCAGAGCAGCCAGGGCCCTATCGGCCAGTCTCTGTGGGACGGTGGGGGCCTAACATCTGCTGTGAGTGGTAAATCTACCTCCTGTCATGAAGGCAAGAGTTTATTTTCCTTTGTAACAAGGTAATTAGCAAACGCAGGTGGTCAGGTAAATTGAGGTTGAATCTCCGATGAAACGGGTGTGGCCAAAGGTGCTGTGCAGTCCACTGATCTGAGGACTAGGCATTACTCTTCTTGAGAAGGTGTGCAGTGAGCAATGGGTTGGACCCGCTGGCTAGACTGGCAATGAGATTTCTTTCTGTCTTTGCAGCATCTTAGCGGGTCATTGCCTGTGATGCGCATCTCACTCTGAGTTCACGCCTCTTCAATGATGAAAGTGTTTTCTTCCTCTTCTATCTCTGCAGAGATAGGCTTGCTGGGATAGATTGTTTGTAATTCTATTTCCCTACCACCACAGGATGAGCTTTGGGGGTCAGGCACCTGGGAAGGAACCCATGCCTAGGCCTTTCACACTCTACATCCATCAGTAGCAGAACTTAAGAGTCTTCCTGGGACTCCATACTTCCTGGAAAGAGGAATTCATTCTTTTCATTGCTGACATTCCTGGGTGTGTGTGTGTGGCAGTTATACTTTCCCCATCCCATTCTGTACCTCCTTCCACTCCGGGGACCCCAAGAGGCCTGGCTCCGCTTGCCCAGTGCACCTCCGAAGAAGGGAGACTGGGAGATGAGGATCCTGCCAGGGGGCCAGGTGTTGGACAAGGTGAATGTGAATGTGGAGGAGAAAGACAGAGGCCTCCCAAGAACCTGATGGGGTCGGGGATGAGGTGAGGGTGCTCAGAAAAGTGCTGGGGCAGGCTCCAGGCTGGGGCCACGGACCGGCCTCACCAGCTGGGGGCTGACTTCTTGGGGTTGCGTTCTGCCTCCCCCTCCCACACACGGCTCTTTGCCCTCTAGAGGCCAAGGGGCAATGGCAGCTTCACAGTGGCACTGCAAGGTTAGGGTTGTTGGGGGTTCTTAGGGAGCAGGGGCACCAGTCCTGCTGTGGCCCTGGCTTCCCCCACCTTGCCCAGGCTCCATGTGCACCCTCAGAGTCCCCCTGGCACAACCTTTCTTCTTCCCACGAGGAACACCCCCACTTCCACTTGGGCCTCTGCCAGGAAGGGTGGGAGCTCTGCCAAGGTGTCCCTCTGAGTGACCACCCTCAGCTGGAGCCACCAGCCAGGCCTCTGCACAGGAGCTGCCCCTGGGCCTTGTGTGTAAAATGGGGGTAATAACAGTATCTGCCTCATAAGGTTGCTGCAAGAATTAAATGAGTTCATACAAGTGAAAGGCACTTAGAACCAGGATCCAGAGGCTTGCAAGGGGTGAGCTGGAGTAGCCATGGTTAAGTATGGAGAGGGAGGTGAACTGATGGATATAAAATCGCCAAGGCAAAAAATTTAAAAACAAAAACAATAACCAGCTGGGCTCGGTGGCTCATGCCTGTAATTCCAGCGCCTTGGGAGGCACAGCAGAAGCATCACTTGAGTCCAGGAGTTGGAGATCAATCTGGGCAACACTGTGAGACCACATCTCTAAAAAAAAATAATAATAATCACTAAGGCAAGAACCTAGTACACTGTAGGCATTCCCTAAGTGTTTACAATTTTTATTCCAATTATATAAAAATAAAATATATTTGAATAGAAACAGAACTCTAAAAAGCAATAACAAGAAATAGTAACTGATTATCTTTTAAAATACTATAAGGTAGGACTACAACTGGTTTCCTTTTTTTTTTTTTTTTTTTTGAGACGGAGTCTCGCTCAGCTGCCCAGGCTAGAGTGCAATGGAGCGATCTCAGCTCACTGCAACCTCTGCCTCCCGGGTTCAAGTGATTCTCCTCTCTCAGCCTCCCGAATAGCTGGGATTACAGGTACCTGCCACCATGCCTGGCTAATTTTTAAATTTTAGTACAGATGGGTTTTCACCAAGTTGGCCAGGCTGGTCTTGAACTCCTGACCTCAGGGGATCCGCCTGCCTCAACCTCCCAAATTGCTAGGATTTCAGGCATAAGCCACCGTGCCTGGCTTTTTTTTTTTTCTTTTTTATACCATTCTGTGATTTAAACTTTTCGATAATGCACATATATTAGTTTTATAATCAGGGAAGAAAAATCAATGTTTTCTTTAATGCTGAGTTTTGTTAATATTTCTGATATTTCACAAAACATCTTTTGTTGACATTCTACAAATGATACCATCCAATAATGTCCCAATACTTTCTTCTTGTGAAGAGAGTTTATATATCTGTAAAAATGAAAGACAAATTATGACTTGCTGATATCATCATTCACTACTAATTGTCATTATACAAACATGTGTAAGTGAAATTATTCCTCATTCAATTATTGGGTTCATAGTATAACAAACAACAAATGTGATTAAAATATTCCAAGTAGACGGCAATTCATTACTTGTATTCCCTTTAAATTGCTGCTATGGGGGTAACTCTCAAGAACATAAAAACCAAATTTCTATCCATTTAAAAGCACATATCTAGATATTAACTTCATACTAAATTTATTTTACATTTTAAATATACTATGTAAGTTTAATATTGAAAGGTATTCTCTTTCTTAATGTGGAGAATGGTTGTATCAGCTGAGTTTGTAATTATATTTTACATAAACCCACACCTCCCAGTTCTTTGTATCTAAAATTATTTTTTAGTAATTTAAAAAATTAGATTAACTTTCTCAAAAGTTCAAAAAACAAGGAGCCCTGGTGATCAATAAGCAAACAGTATCAGCATTATTGCTCATCTGTCACACTCTTTCTAAAAATATGGACTGGCAAACAAACCTTTTGGACTTCCGTAATATTTGTTATCTCAGGAAGACTTTTCAGAGAAACCTGATGACCTTCCACTTGAGATATTAGGTATTCTTGATTTATTTGTTTTTCTCCCTCTTCAATGTAAACAATTAGAATTGAAGTGTCATTTGCTGAGATACCAAATTTTTTCAAAGCCTCTGAAATCTAAGAGAAAAAAAATGAAAAAAAACAAAAACAAAAACATAAACAAAACAAGATAATTAACCATTGTTTCCTATGTCTGAAACATTTCCTGATCTGCCTTCTTCCTTGGTCAGGCTCTTATTTTTCATGTCCTAAAAGTTCTCACTGCTTAGTTTTTCACTTTGATGATTCCTTTCCAACATCCATTGGCACTTCCTCGAAAGTACTCCCTGCTTCAAGTTATGCCTTGTTCCTATGGAATCAAGCCCAGCCTCTTGGTGCTGCACAAAAAAACACCTCCTCCCTCTGGTGCCAAGTGGCTCTCCAGCCAGGCGCTTCTGCCACCTGGCCAGTCTGGCCTGCCTGGGGGTCCAGTCACATTTCATGCCCTTCTGCCTGTGCTCAAGCTTTGTCCTCTGCTCGCATGTCCCTTCTCCCCATGGCTTGGCTGCTGAACACATGCTTCAAGGTCCACATTTCTGATGCCACTCCCCACCACACCCTCCTCCCTCCAAAATGAATGGCTTCATTGCTGTACCCCTAGATTTGAATTCATTTTTCCATTATATCATTTATCTCAGGGCATTTTAACTTGTTTATCTGCCTCTCCTCGGGAACATATTTGCCTCTTCTGCCCCTAGAACTGCAAATGGAACAGGGAAAATTTCAACAGACGTTTACTGAATTCAAGAGTTTTCTGAATTATGTGTAATGATCTCAAGGAAACAATAATTAGTAAATTTTATTCCAAGTACTGGGAAACTCTATTACCATGCTGAGATAACTGCATTTTATAAACTTTACAATCATCTGTATTTTAACCTATGCCACAGGTTTCGTAACTTTTCTCTAGATGAAATTAGTACCTGGTTGTTATTAATAGCAGCAGTAATACTAAAAATTCATCAGCAAAATTACAGTCATTTTTTTCATGTGCTACATGTGTGATGTCTTTGGCTTGATAACTTTCATTGAAAAAGCATTACTGGCCAGGCGCGGTGGCTCAACCTGTAATCCCAGCACTTTGGGAGGCCGAGACGGGCGGATCACGATGTCAGGAGATCGAGACCATCCTGGCTAACACGGTGAAACCCCGTCTCTACTAAAAATACAAAAAAAAGAAATTAGCCGGGCGTGGTGGCAGGCGCCTGTAGTTCCAGCTACTCCGGAGGCTGAGGTGGGAGAATGGCATGAACCTGGAAAGCGGAGCTTGCAGTGAGCCGAGGTTGCGCCACTGTACTCCAGCCTGGGCGACAGAGCAAGACTCCGTCTCAAAAAAAAAAAAAAAAAAAAAGGAAAAAGCGTTACTATAAGTTTTTCAAACCACAGACTCTTCCTACATACTGGGTGTGTGAGTGAGGATGTGTTAAGGACTGTTATAGGTACCAGCAAGTTCCTGGTATATGAAAAAGACATGGATCCCACCCTCAAGGAGTTTACGGGAAGAGGGAAAGATATGCACTCTAGCACACAAAATATCCATGCCTAATGTTTTATCATTTAGATTTCTGTCAGTTTCTTAAGCAAAAATACTTGAGAGGTCTTCCTGATCCTATATGGTAAGAACAGATAAAATTAACCTCACTTAATTTAGCTAAATTTGTGTTTACTCATATGTAAACTGTCTTAGTAAGAGGCAGGGTAAACCTCAACTCTCTGTCCAGAGCTCTCTTCACTACTATTTTGGTTTATTACTAACCACTGGCTTGCAGGAATTTAGCCTCCAACCCTGAGGAACACATATGTTATTATGACAAGGTCAACAGAAATAGGAAAGTCTACATTACATTGTTATTTGGGGAAAGGTTGAAAATAATTTCAGTAGATAGAGTTCTTGTCTTCATTTTTCCCAGTTTGTAGAGGTGAACTGCTTTGTTTGCTGCCACAAGTATCTGAAATGGATCGACAATCTACCAAAGAGAGCAGAAAGAATTAATTACACATAGAGAATCTGCAGTGCTTGAAAACACATGGTAACTCATGGTTAACTCCACTGTCAAGCTGGTTTACTTCATCACAATTCTTATGGTCTGTATTTTCAAAACTATTATCCCAGCTAGGCGTGGTGGCTCATGCCTGTAATCCCAGCACTTTGGGAGGCCAAGGCGGGCGGGTCACCTGAGGTCAGGAGTTCAAGACCAGCCTGGCCAACACGGCGAAACTGTATCTCTACTAAAAATACAAAAATTAGGTGTGGTATCACGCACCTGTAATCCCAGCTACTCGGGAGGCTGAGGCAGGAGAATTGCTTGAACCCAGGAGGTGGAGGCTGCAGTGAGCCGAGATTGCACCATTGCACTCCAGCCTGGGCAACAAGAGTGAAACTCTGTCTCAAAACAAAAACAAAAACAAAAACAAAAACTATTATCCCAAGGGCCTGGGTAGTCAGAAAATCATAGAATTTTAAAGCTGCAAGGACTTATGCAAATAGTAAAATTTTTTAAAATAACATTAATTGAGGGCTAATATTATGGGCATGATCATATTCCAAACATTTTACTTGTGTTATTTTCTTTAATCCTCAAAACTACCCTATGAAACTAATACTATTAATAGTAGTAGTAGTATGTAATTGATGAGGAAATTGAGGCAAAGAATGTCTGAGTTTGAATCCCATCTCTGCCACCTATCACCTAGGGAACTTAGGCAAGTTCCTTAGCATTTTATTTGTTAGAGACACATGAAACAGTATTTACTACATAGGCTGTTGTGAAGATTAAGCGAGTTAGTATACGTAAAGCACTTGGAACAATACTAGGAATACAGTAAGCACTATATAAAGGTTGGCTATGTCTTGTTCAAAGTCCTAAGTAGTAGGTCTGGGATTAATTCCCAGTAACATGATCCCACTGCCTGTGCTTTTTTTTTTTTTTTTTTTTTTTTTTTTTTGAGACAGAGTCTCGCTCCATCGCCCAGGCTGGAATGCAGTGGCTCAATCTCAGCTCACTGCAACCTCCGCCTCCCAGGTTCAAGTGATTCTTGTGCCTCAGCCTCCCGAGTAGCTGGGACTACCAGCACACACCACCATGCCCAGCTACTTTTTGTATTTTTAGTAGAGACAGGGTTTCACTATGTAGGCCACACTGGTCTCAAACTCCTGGCCTCAAGCAATCCACACCCCTTGGCCTCTGTGTGTGCTCTTAACCACTACGCTATGCCTCCTCTACAGACTGTCTTGTTAAGAACCCCCATTTTAAAGATAAGAAGCTGGAGATCCAGGCATTTCCCATGTTAGACCCAGACCACAACCTTTCCTCCTTCCTAGGGCAGGACCTGGCACTTCTGCCTCTATTCACTGTTATAGTCCAGGTTGGCTGCATCTGACTTGGACAAGAATTTTTTCCCTAACAGTGACAGAATTTTAGGCTACCCTATAACATCACAAATATTAACATATACTTAAATGGCCTGTATGGTTCATTCATTGTTTTTTTGTTTGTTTGTTTTGTTTTGTTTTGAGACACAGTCTTGCTCTGTTGCCCAGGCTGGAGTGCAGTGGCGTGATCTCGGCTCACTGCAACCTCTGCCTCCCAGGCTCAAGCGATTATCCTGCCTCAGCCTCCCGAGTACAGGTGCCCACCACCACGTTCAGCTAATTTTTGTATTTTTAGTAGAGACAGGGTTTCACCATATTGGCCAGACTGGTCTCAAACTCCTGACCTCGTGATCTGCCCACCTCAGCCTCCCAAAGTGCTGGGATTACAGGCGTGAGCCACCACGCCTGGCTTTTTTTTTTTTTTTTTTTTTTTTTTGAGACAGTTTCACTCTTGTCGCCCAGGCTGGAGTGCAATGGCGCAATCTTGACTCACCGTAACCTCCACCGCCCGGGTTCAAATGATTCTCCTGCCTCAGCCTCCCGAGTGGCTGGGATTATAGGCACCCGCCACCACGTCCAGCTAATTTTTGTATTTTTAGTTGAGACAGGGTTTCACTATGTTGGCCAGGCTTGTCTTCAACTCCTGACCTCAGGTGATCCACCCACCTCGGCCTCCTAAAGTGCTGGGATTATGGGCATGAGCCACCGCACCCAGCCAGCTCATTCATTCTTACAATTTATATTTACCACTGTAGGATTTATCAGTGATCCATCGATGGTGCCTTCCATGGCCTTTCTTCTCAAGTCTCCCGCATTTTTTACATCTTTAAATAACAGAAGGGTTACCCTGCATTCAGGAAATAGGTCCAGCTGATGTGTTAACTGCATTTCACAGATAAGCAGGATTCTACTGCACACAAAATGAAAAGACCAAAAGATTTCGTTTATTTAAAAGTTAACATTATAACTCATTTCTTAACAAATATTCAATAACTTTGATAACAACATGATAAAAAGTTTTAAATTAGAAAAATCCATCGCCAAAGCCCATTTGGCATCCTCATGAGATGTTGTCTTCCTAACCCTTTTGAGCTGTTTCTAGTTCCACTGCCATTCCCAGGGAAACGCCAAAGGGCCCAGCTGGTTGCTGTTTGTTCAGATAAGGCAGGCTCAGATGCATGGTTGAAGGGCTGCTTCCCCAGCAGACAAGCAGGAGCAGAATGTCAGGAATTTTTTAAACCAGAGGTTATTTATGGTATTAATGAAGTCTTACTCTATCTTAGTCTTTTTAAATTCTTGATCTCATCATTTTATTTATATTTTAGGAAGGCCTAGACTAAATATTAAGGAAGAAAATAATTTTAAAGAATAAAGTAGGCCGGGCATGGTGGCTCACGCCTGTAATCCCAGCACTCTGGGAGGCCAAGAAGAGCAGATCACCTGAGGTCGGGAATTTGAGACCAGTCTGACCAACATGGAGAAACCCCATCTCTACTAAAAATACCAAAAAAATTAGCCAGGCATGGTGGCACATGCCTGTAATCACAGCTACTCAGGAGGCTGAGGCAGGAGAATCACTTGAACCTGGGAGGCGGAGGTTGCAGTGAGCCAAGATTGCACCATTGCACTCCAGCCTGGGCAACAAGAGTGAAACTCAGTCTCAAAAAAAAAAAAAAGAATAAAGTATCACACTTGACCCAAAGATATTAATTCCACACATGGAAATTAAGCAGAGAGGGTATTAAATAATCAATATTGCTCCTTTCTTGGACATAAGCTTAACAAGAAAAGGATAGGTTATTATATATAAAGACATAAAAGACAATTTGAATTAACTAGAAAGACATGACCATATCTTTGAATGGAAAAACTATGTATTGCAAAAATTTCTTTAAAACAAGTTCTATCAAATTCTTAATAAGATATTTTGGTGGGGCAATTTGAGACTCATTTTATCCTTTTACCTGGCAGATTATATTTCTAGAACTCTTACTGATGGAAGTCATTAGGAATCCAAGAATTATATAAGATGTTCCTCTCATTATTTTAACAGTAAAAAGTTGAAAATAACCTATCTAGCTAATGATGGGATTGGTTGTGATTTAACAACCATGAAAACATGTGGTCTTGACGTTGTGTAAAAATGGCAATAAATAACATTAAGTAAAAACATCTGAATGGAAAACAAAACACAAACTGGCCAACATGTGAGTTTTTTAAAAAGCTTTTAAACAAATATTAAAAAGAAAACACACCAGAAAGCTAACGTTATCTCTTACTTAGAATCAACTTGACTTTTTCTGCTACAAACAGGAAAAAAAATATTTGTGAACAATATCCTGGCCACAGTTCAATCATTACTCATGCTAAGAGGAAAAAAATGGATACACAAAGATATAATCAGTAGGATACCAATATATAAAAAGATACACATATTTTTTAAAAACACATGAAGGAAACACTAAAATATGACCATCTTGGGTAGTGAGGTTATGAGGTGATTTTTATTGTCCTTTATACAAAAGAAAGTATTTTGTTATGTATGTTCTGAATTTTCTACAGTGAGCATACAACACATGAGTAGACATAATAAGAAAGGGGAAAAAAATGTGGTTTTTAACACTGGGGGTGGGGGAAAGAATCCTTAGAAAAATCTCAAAATAGTTTCTTCTTGTTTAGCATAATTCACTCAGTCCAGAAACTTGGAATCATCGTTGAGTACCCAACCTGTCACTCAAATCCTATATCTAATCCGTAAAGTCCTGAATTTTCACCTGCTAAATATACTTTTGATTCGTCCACTTCTCTCCCATAAGCTAGGTCACACCGCTCATCTACAGCAGTAGCCTCCTGAGTGGTTTCTCACAATTCCTGCCCTCCTATAATCCAGTCTTCACCCGCAGCTCTAGTGATCCTTTCAAAATGACCATCAGATCTTGCCATTCTGCTGCTCTTATGATAAACCCCCAACTTTGCGTCACGGTGTTCCATACTCTACGATCTGGTCGCTGCCTCCCTCTTCTGCTACCGCCGCAATGGCCTTCTCTAAGTTCAAGTCACCAAGCTTTCTCCCCGATTCTGCCCTATCGGACAGGTAGTTCCCTCTCTCCTTTCATCTCCGCCTGACGCACTCCTCCCTCCTTTCAACTCCATTTGGAATCATTTACTTCAGCGCCCACAACTCCGGGACTTCGGCTCTTTTTAGTCTTGAGGACTAGCTCCTTTTTGGGCCCAATCACAACTTTAAAGAATCGTGCGCCTATCCGTTGCATGTCTCCTCACTAAACTATATTTCTTAAGGGGACAGACTGACTATCATTCTCGTGCTGCATTCCCAGGGGCTGGCCTCGTTGGCGCTTGATAAATACCAGTTTAAGAACCCGCAGCCATAGTCCCAAGGACATTACTAAATCTGCTCGAACCCTCCCCTCCCGAGCCGCCCCGTAAGTGGGCAAAGAAAACTCACCATTCAGTCCCCAGCGCGTCTCGGAAGATCTCCCGCTCGGAAACAAAGCTCACAACTTCCGGAAGCGATGGCCAATCCCCGTCTTCTTCGAGACAGTTTCCGGATAGGCCGGCTCGAGGTGGCCATGTTTTTCCGGGTCCCCGTAGGAGGAGTGCTTCCGCCCATCGTGCCGCCCATTCTTCCGCCCTCCCAGCCTGGGTCCCGTCAACGGACGCGAAGGAGAATAGGGGCTGTATATCACTTCCGGCGAAGGCAATGGAAGCATATATGGGCTGGCACCGGAAGTTGAGGTCCGGTTTTGAGTCTCGGCTTTGTGTTAATCAGTGTTGGGCGTTGCACCGGGCTTCCTCAGTTTCTTCCTGTACAAGGAAAAGTACTGACCAAAATGAGTTCTACATACATTTCCGCTGCTCGAGATTTCTTTTTTGTTGTTGTTGTTGTTTGTTTTTTGAGACAGAGTCTCGCTTTGTTACTCAGGCTGGAGTGCAGTGGCGCAATCTCGGCTCACTGCTACCTCCGCCTCCAGGTTCAAGTCATTCTCCTGCCTCAGCCTCCCAAGCAGCTGGGACTACAGGCACGTACCACCACACCCGGCTAATTTTTTGTATTTTTAGTAGAGACGGGGTTTCACCGTGTTAGCCAGGATGGTCTCGATCACCTGATCTCGTGATCAGCCCGCGTTGGCCTCCCAAAGTTCTGGGATTACAGGCGTGAACCCCCACGCCCTGCTGAGATTTCTTCGTTCTTTTTCTGGGCCTTGTCTCCTGTGACACTTCGGACTTTGGACTTTGGACTTTTGAGTTTAATGCTGGAACAAGTTAAAACTTTGGGGGATGATTGGGAAGTCATGATTATGTTTTGCAATGTGAGAAGGACATGAGATTTGGGGGTCCAGGGATGGATTGATACAGTTTGAATGTATGTCCCTGCCAAATCTCATGTTGAATTGTGATCTCCAGTGTTGGAGGTGGGACCTGATGGGAGGTGTTTGGGTCATGTAGGTGGATCTCTTATGGCTTGGTGTCTTTGCAATAGTGAGTGAGTTCTAGGGAGATCTGGTTCTTTAGAAGTGTGTGGCACCCCCAAACACACACTGTCTCTTGCTCCAGTTCTCACCGTGTGATGTGCCTGCTCGCCCTTCTCCTTCTGCCAAAAGTAAAAGCTCCCTGGGGCCTCCTTAGAAGCCAAACAGATACTGGTACTATGCTTCCTGTACAGCCTGCAGAACCATGAGCCAATTTAACCTGGTTTCTATATAAATTACTCGGTCTCAGATATTTCTTTGTAGCAATGCAAGAACAGCCTAATTGTGGGGGGCGGGGCGGGGGAAAAAGATGGGGAGGCATGACACACTGGGCTAAAACATGAAGGACATTCGGCCGGACGTGGTGGCTCACGCCTGTAATCTCAATACTTTGGGAGGCCGAGGTGGGCGGATCACCTCAGGTTGGGAGTTCGAGACCAGCTTGACTAACATGGAGAAACCCCATCTCTACTAAAAAATAAAAAAATTAGCCAGGCATGGTGGTGCGTACCTGTAATGCCAGCAACTCAAGAGACTGAGGCAGGAGAATCGCTTGAACCTTTGAGGTAGAGGTTGCCGTGAGCCAAGATTGTGCCATTGCACTCCAGCCTGGACAACAAGAGTGAAACTCCCTCTAAAATATATATATATATTGTGTGTGTGTGTGTGTGTGTGTGTGTGTATGTATGTATATATATGAAGGACATTCTATTTCTAGGACAGACTGGAACAGGGCCCTGGCTGTTCTGGTTAGTCTCTCTTTATCACAGGATGCTACATTCCCAGCACATTCTACAGTTATCCTAGAGAACCACAAGTGAGAAAGGAGAAAGAACTAAGTTTGTCCAAAGCCACCTGGAGAACTATCCTGCAGTCTATGCCCTTAACCCAGATTATCCCCCTTAGCACAGCTAGTCCATTCCATATGCCCACCAACCTCCTAGTACCTGGAGGCGGAGGTTTGTCTTCTCAGATTGACTTAACACCTTGACAGACACAATGTCAGTGCAACATTGTTGAGCCATAGCCAGAATACATTTTACTAGGCCCAGGAGGACTACTCCACAAACAGGCTGATTGGGTCTGCCTGGAGCAGCAACCTAGTCCAGGATCCAGCGATCCAGGTAAGAAGTTGCTAAAGAGGTCAAAAAAGGGTCCTTAAGGGAGCCCCAATATCTGCAGCAAGTGGGCTTCCTCCCAGATCTCCCCTACTTTTCTGCAGTACATTAGGTGTTCGCTAGGTACTGTAGCAGCTACTGGCAATCGAACACACTTCTCCCAGTTTGGTAAATGGAAATCTAAAGTAATTCCTTTGTTTAATACAATCCTCTTGGCCAGGTGTGCTGGCTCATGCTTGTAATCCCAGTGCTTTGGGAAGCTGAAATAGGGGGTTTGCTTGAGGCCAAGAGTTCAAGACCAGCCTGGGCAAAATAGTGAGGCCCCCATCTCTCCAAAATATTAAGAAAAATAGCCAAGTGTGGTGGTGTGCACCTGCAGTCAGATCTACTTAGGAGGCTCAGGTGGGAGGATCACTTGAGCCTAGGAGTTTGAGGTTACAGTGAACTATGATCATGCCACTGCACTCCAGTCTGGGCAACAGCATAAAACCCCATCTCAAAAAAAAAAAAAAAAAAAAATTCTCAAGGGTGTTGAGGGATGTCTGCTGGGCTGCCAAGGAAGTGGCAATAGAGGAAGCAATATCTGCCATGCTCAGGGACAGATTTCTTACCAATTTTTCCTGAGCACCGACTCCTATGTGTGCTACCAAAAATCTCAAAAAGAACACAAACCCAGAGCTGCTTACACCTCCTAGCAGGAGTCTAGTAAGCCTGGTGCATGACTTCAGGCTGCTGGCCCACTTGTATGACTTATTTCAAGGAGTAATATCTAGGGACACCCCAGAATGCCCAGTGTGCAGTATCCCGCCGTTCATCAGCTTTTCAAGCATAACATTGCCCGTACCGTATTTGGGTCACCCTGGACTGCCCACAGAGAAAAATGTAGCCCTCAGGTGCACATAGCATCCCTTTTCCCATTTTATTGTTCAGTAGCCCATTCATAGGTATGAAGACATTGGCATTTGCCAGCCAGGTCTCAAATTAGTTATATGAACTTGGTTTCCCCCATTCAATATTGTTCATGAAGCCCCTACACAGAAAGCTAACAGTAGTCCAATTATTGTTTCCACTGTCAACACTGGGATGCTTCTCATCCAAGTAAAGGAATATAATGGGTCAAAAGTACTAGCCCACCAAGCTTTTATTACTTGTCATGATGTTTTGCCACCTTAGGCCAATTAAGTCTACCCTTAGGCCAATTAAGTCTCCCTCTCATGTGGCAGGTGCCAGATCCTCACTCAGTAAGCCAGGGCTCAGGTTCTGTTGATATTCACTGTGCCACTATAACACTGGTAGAGTTTACTACTGGCAGGACGAGAAGGTTGCTGTAGCCTGTGACATGATGGGGTCTGGGATGACAGATCCAGCACTTCCCTTTGGTGGCCACAGCTTGGGAGAGCGTAACGAAGGCATCATGCTTCTAGGCCTCTGCTGTCACGTCCTTGTGGAAAAAGCAGACTGACAGGTTAGTGCCCCGCCCCTTACACTTCCTGCATCCTCGGGTATTCCCTACCTCTGTGATAGAGGTTGGGCTGAGTGTAGTGTCCCAGTCTGACTGCTGCAGTCCCGAAGACTACCCATTCCCCTTGTTGCATGACCCAGGCCTTTTGGCTTCAGTTGTCCAGTCCGGGAAGGGAGGTTTGTCCTGTACAAACTTGACATGTCTGATAAGTTTACCCACCTGTATGGAAGGATCAGGTGTTCCTGGTGCCATTAACCCTAGCACTCTGGTACTCCTTGGTCCTGTCCTGTATCCCTGTGGATTTCATAGAAGAGAGGCACCTGGGGGAAGTATCACCTCTAGATTAGAGTCAGGGGGCCCTGTCTGAGGTGCTCTGGCAGCTTGAACCACCGACCACCTACAGGATGTGCACTCTAAATGGAGAAAGAAAAAAGAATGGTTGGGAACACTGAGATTGGAATTTCACAGGTGCAGCCTCATCAGGCAGTCACCTGGTCCACCTCTATCCACACCAAGCTCAGTGTTTCTCAAGATGTGTGCAGTGCTGTGTTTCCCTTGTATTGGAGTACAGTGCTTAGTGTCCATGCTGCCCTAGTCAAATCGAGGTGTCACCCCAATAGCAGGCTGTCCTGATGTCCTTTATTCAGTTGCTTTGTGAGTTGGCTGGTCCATCATTCAATGGCTCCATCGGCCTGTGGATGACAGAGTGCATGGAAAACCCATTGTATTGCATGAGAGTATGCCCACTGTCATGTTACTTGGGCAGTGAGGATTTTCCTTGGTCAGAGTGAAGTCCCATGGGGTATCCAAAAACATAAGTCCTCTCAAGAGCAGCTATGGTAGTCAGAGCATCCACATGAGTCGCATATAGAGTGCCTTCCAACAGCAAGCTGTTGCCATAGCCCTTGTCCCCACACATGGAATCTTTTAATAGTCCAATCACTGCTGCCATTCCCCTGACCAGATGGCTAGGCTGTTGACAATGGCCCATGAGTCAGTAAAAATGTGGCAAGATATGGTGGTAGGTGAGAGGGGATGTGCCCCACTGTTATGGCTGAAATCCTTAGCTGTTAGGGGTCATAGCCCCTCTGGTGGCAGTGATGTTCTGTGCCACAAGCAACCAAAATGTCAATGCCTATAAAGCACTCAGTGGTGGGAACCATGGTCACTGACACTTGAAATGGCCCAGAGGGCTCCACCTACAAGCAGAGAAGCACCACAAGCAGATAAACACTATGTGTCACTGAGTCCATCCCCAAACTTCCTGCTTAATTTTTCCCCTAAAGGAACCTGGAAATACTGTCATGTGGCCTTCAGTATCCAAGAACTTCAAAGAAGTCGGAATTTCCATCTTTCCCCATTTTATCTTTTTTTTTTTCTTGAGACAGGGTTTCTCACTGTTGCCCAGGTTGGAGGGCAGCCTCAACCTCCCAGGTTCAGACAATCCTCCAGCCTCAGCCTCCCACATAGCTGGGACTATGGGAAGCACACCACCACGCGTGGGTAATTTTTAAGTTTTTTGTAGAGACAAGGTCTCACATTGTTGCTTTGACTGGTCTCTAACTCTTGGGCTCAAGGGATCCTCCTGCCTTGGCCCCACAAAGTACTGGAATTAGGTATGAGCCACTGCACCTGGCCCCATTTTATCTTGATAGGAGTATAGAGCCATTGGCCTCTGGTGGGGATCCAGAGACCATGGCCCCATTCCTACCTGTGCCATTCAGCCCAAGACATTTGGGTTTGCAATGTCCCTTTATCAAATATATTCATCAACCAGGATGCACGCGACTTCCTTGGCCTTTCTCCATGTCTGAGACTGTGGTCCTTTAGACTTGAGTCTCCCTTTCTGTGATGGGCCACACTGTGCATGTGAGTTCCTCTCAGATGCTTCAGGGACCGTGTGAGTACCTCATCCCTCTTCTTTCTCTTAAGTGCCTTAGGGTATGTTTGAGTCCCCAATCGCCAGCCCTGGAAATGAGCAATCACATAAGTGGCTAACAACCAAGGGATCCTGTGTGGTATTTCAGTTCCACCTTACTCTCTCTCTGCTTCCACCCATTCAGCCAGCTCAGTCACATCCACAGGGTATGTTTGCATGTGACCTAAGGTCCCACGTATCACCCCTCCTTTCCCATAAAACGTGCCGCTCCAAGTCCAGCCTCTGCACCCGCAGGTTGACATCACTACCTCCTTTCACCAGGAAAACATGGTTCTGTCAGACTGAACCCGGTTCACTGTGCTAATTTTGTGAAGCAGGCTCATTGTACACTGGTTATCAACTTGCCTGAGTCCAATGAGATGGTGAGATGGAACGCCCACACACAAGTTACATGAAGTGGGTTTATTACTTACAGATTGGCCCTGAGGCACAACAGAAGCCTGGAATTCATTGTGAGCCAATCTCCCAAGGCTCAAGAAAGCTACTGAGGGTGGATGGATTCTCACAAGTGGGGCATGTGTTCCACTTGCACTGCAGCCGAAGGACACCAGAAAGCAGCCGGCACTGGATTTAATACCCTGGGGGACCACATGACACGCTAGGCAAAAGGTAGGCAAAAGTGTTGGCGGACGTCTTGTTTCTCAGAGGCAGACTGGAACAGAAAGAGTCTGAGCTGTTCTTGTCAGTTCCTCTTTATCGCAGGATGTTGCATTCCCAGCACATTCTACGGTCATTTTTGAGAACACAAGTGAGAAAGAGGGAAGAACTGGGCGAGTCCAAGGTCACCCGGAGAACTGTCCTGCAGCTTGTTCTTGAATGTTCAGATCAACTTTACCCATAATAGCCAAAAACTGGAAATAACCAATGCCCAACAATACACTGATAAACACATTGTGGTAAATTCATACAGCGAGATACCACTCAGTACTGAACAGGAATGAACTGCAGATACTTCCAACAATACTTGCAACATAGATGAGTCTTTAAAATGTGCTCAGCAAAATGACAATCTAAAATTAATTACTAGGCCAGGCGCGGTGGCTCAAGCCTGTAATCCCAGCACTTTGGGAGGCCCAGGCGGGAAGATCACCTGAGGTCAGGAGTTCGAGACCAGCCTGGCCAACAGGGTGAAGCCCCGTTTCTACCAAAAAATACAAAAATTAGCCCGGTGTGGTGGTGGGCACTGTAATCCCAGCTACTCAGGAGGCCGAGGCAGGAGAATTGCTTCAACCCGGGAGGCAGAGGTTGCAGTGAGCCGAGATCATGCCACTGCACTCCAGCGTGGGCGACAGAGCGAGACTCTGTCTCAAAATAAATGAAATGAAATAAAATAAATTACTAGATGATGCCATTTCTACAAAATGCTAGGGATTACAGATTTATTATGGAGTGACTGAAAGCAAATAAGTGGTTGCTTGGGATGGGGAAGTGGGAGACAGTGACTGGAAAGGATCCAAAGGGAACCTTTAGGGTGAAGCCAATGTTCCATATCTTGATGTGGTGTCAGTTACAAGGAAGTATGAATTTGTTACAATTCATCAAATTAGATGCACTTTAGAACAGTATATTATATATATATTTTAATGTATTTTTAAATATATATATATATTTTTTTATTTTATTTTATTTTTTCTGAAACAGAGTCTTGCTTTATCACCCAGGCTGGAGTGCAGTGGCATGGTCTTGGCTCACTGCAACCTCTTCCTCCCAGGTTCAAGCGATTTTCCTGCCTCACCCTCCTGAGTAGTTGGGATTACAAGTGTGCCACCACGCCTGGCTAACTTTTGTATTTTTAGTAGAGACAGGGTTTCACCATGTTGGCCAGGCTGGTCTCGAACTCCTGACCTGAGATGATCCGCTCGTCATGGCCTCCCAAAGTGCTGAGATTACAGGAACGAGCCACTGTGCCCGGCCTAGAAGAGTATATTTTATAAACTACAAATTATGCCTCAATAAAGTTGATTTAAAAGCAGACATAAAAATCGTTGTCTCATATCAAGCAAAGTCCCATGGAATAAAAAGAAAATAGTTGTCTTGGCCAGGCGCGGTGGCTCATGCCTGTAATCCCAGCACTTTGGGGGGCCGAGGCAGGTGGATCACCTGAGGTCAGGAATTCGAGATCAGCTTGGCAAACATGGTGAAACCCTGCCTCTACTAAAAATACAAAATTAGCTGCACATGGTGGCGCATGCCTGTAATCCCAGCTACTCAGGAGGCTGAGGCAGGAGAATCGCTCGAAACCAGGAGGCGGAGGTTGCAGTGAGCCAGAATTGTACCACTGCACCCCAGTGTGGGTGACAGAGTGAGACTCCGTCTCCAAAAAAAAAAAAAAAAAAAATTGTCTCAGTTCATAGCAGCTTGTTTCTAACTATTAAAAGCTGGAAACAACCCAAACATTCAAGTGAATGGATAAACAAATTGTCACAATCCATACAATGACTGCAACTCAGCCATAAAAAGAACTCAGCTATTGCTATATACAGCAACACGGATGAATCTCAAAATAATTATGCCAAATAAAAGAAGCTAGACATAAAAAGAGTGCATACTGTATGATTCTGTTATGTAAAACGACTACGGTGACAGCAGATCAGTGGTTGCTTGAGTAAGGGTTCTGGGATGGAAAGAGAGGATTACAAAGGAGCAGGGGGAACTGTGGGGTAATAGATGTGTTCTACCTTGATTATGGTAATGGCTTCATGGATGTGTATATGTCAAGTGAATCTAATTGTATGCTTATAAAAATATACAGCATATTGCACGTCAATTATCTTTCTAAGGCTGTTTAAGAAACACGAGACACTACATCTTTTTATTGGAACAGCTAAAATTTAGAAAAACTGACAACACTAAGTACTGGAGAGGATGTGAGCAACTGGAGCTCTCATACCTTATTCATGGGGATGCCATGTAATACAGACATTTTCCAAAAGTTTGGGAGTTCCTTACAAAATTAAATATACGCTTACCCCACAACAGCAATCCCAGTACAAGAGAAATAAAAACAATTTACACAAAAAAACCCTATGCAAATGTTTATGGCAGCTTTGTTCAAAATTCAAATATTGGTAAATAACCCAAATATCCTTCAACTAGTAGATGGAAAACAAATTGTGGTATATCCACAGCATACTCAGCAACAAACGGGAATGAACTGTTGATCTACTCAGCAACATGGATGAATGTCAAAAGCATTATGCTAAATTAAAGAAGCCACATTCGAAAGGCTACATACTCTGTTATTCCATTTATACGACATTCTAGAAAAGGCAAAACTATAGGGACAGAAAATAGGTCAGCATATGCCAAAGTCTGGGGTTGGTGGAAATGGATTGCTACAAAATGCCATGAAGGAATTTTAAGGGATGACGGAATGGTTATATATTTTGATTGTGGTGGTGGTGGTGATGGTTATACAACTATGCGTTTGTCAAAATTCATAGAACTGTACACTAAAAGAGGTGAATTTTACTATCTGACTATTTTTTAGGTCATCTCAGAGGTAAAAATGATCCCTTATGGCTTGCAAGGGTTATGTATCATAAAATTAGTTCAAAAGATCTAATTTGAACTCATCTAAGGTATTAGATGAGAGCTTTCAAAACAATATTAACTTTATTCTTCTCTGCAATATATAGACTTGCATAAATATGCATAACTGTTACCATGTGTTAAAATGAATCTAACCTTGGAAGTGTTATCTGAACCAACGGGTCAGGTAAGATACCTGGACTCCAAACACCATCCCCATGT